AGACTGGCCCGGAAACTCTCTTGATTTAAATCCAATCGAGAATCTGTGGCCAATCTGCAAGGAACGACTTCGTGGAAGGGACATTCGAAGTACTAACATGTGCACTGGTTCATGTTTCATTGGAAAAATACGAAAAAAATAATTTGTACAACGGTGTATATATATATATATATATATATATATATATATATGTACTTACATATTCCATATGAATACATGGTAGACGCACAACAACGTGTACAATTTATTTAAATATATAGGACACCCACACCCACACACATATATATATATAATATTATTTATAAATATAAATACATAAATATTTTAAAGACTCCCGTTGCATTTTCAAATTCTTTTCCTGATATATATATATATATATATATATATATATATATATATATATATATATATATATATATATATATATGTATATGTAAAGTGTATATAAATAAATATAAGTATGTATAATTATTTATATATTATATGCGCGGTACTTATTAGATAGCGCTCAATATCAGAGATAGAGCTAACATAACCAAATATATATAGTCGTAAGATGTGCTATATTTATGGGATAAATGCTCGATATCAGAGATAGATAGAGCGTGTGTAAATATAAAATTGAACATAGAAGTTCTGACTTAGATGCGACAGTCTGTTTCATGCTAGATGCAATCGTCAGGTGGCCTGACGATTGCGTCTAGCATGAAACAGACTGTCGCCTCTAAGTGTTGACTTCTATGTTCACTTTTATATATATATATATATATTCTTAGTAGATATTCCTATTTGTGTAAACACACTGTTTATTTATTAAACAGTATATTTAATATGGCCTGGGGAGAGTTGCTCCCCTCAGGTTATCTTGCCCAAGAAACCCCACTTGTACCGCGACTGCAGTACAAATGATACCACCCCTACGAAGCTGATGGGTCACGGGTTTCTCGATCACGCTCAGTATATAATAAAGTGGACACGAAGGTCAACATCGAGTGGCGACAGTCTGTTTCCTGCTTCCCAACAATTTTCTGTCGGCCCGAGGATCGTGTTCCGTCTTGCAACAACCCATAGCCACATGGTGTTCACCTTGCAGTCAACTTTTATATTTACACACGATTTATGCGTGAATACAAGCCCCTTTTTATCCATAAATATAGACTACCAGAAAATTATATTTTTACAATATATGTGCATATATATTTTCTGTTTATATATATATATATATATATATATATATATATATATATAATTAAATTATAATTAAATTATAATTATAATGATATTTATGCTCTACTTTTTTATCGAGCACTATTTTTAAAAATAATAACTAAAATACTAGGGACTTTGGATTATTTACCTAACCAGTTCCTTCCTATTTTCTATATATTTTCACACACATATATATATATATATATATATATATATATATATATATATATATATATGTGTGTGTGTGTGTGTGTGTGTGTGTGTGTGTGTGTGTGTGTGTGTGTGTGCGTGTGTTTGTGTGTGTGTGTGTGAGCGCGTGTGCGTGTGTGTGTGAGCGCGTGTGCGTGTGTGTGTGTTTGTGTGTGTGTAAAAGCCAGTCGCATTCGCCAGTGGTCACCCATCTGATTTACGGACCTGACTTAAATGTTGCTTAACCTTTGGTCGGACGAGAACCGTTGTTTTCATTTGATGATATAAATATATATATATATATATATATATGCATATATATCGGGGACAATGTATGTCAGTGTGTTTTCTTGCTTCTATGGAGGAACGACACGTCAGACCTTTTGAAAGGATATTTAATCTAGGTTAATCTATGCATACTTGGATCTGTTTGCATTTCTATAGCCATACCCACATCTACTCATCCCCCGCCCTCATCAAATGCACTTTCTTCTTCTTCTTCTTCTTCTTCTTCTTCTTCTTCTTCTGTCTGTCTGTTTTTCTTCCTTTCTTTTTTTTCTGTCACCCTTTCTTTCTTTCATTCTGTCCCTCTTTCTTTCTTTCTTTCTTTCTGTCTGTTTTTCTTTCTTTCATTTTCAGTCCCTCTTTTCTCTTTTTCTCTTTTTTTCTTTCTTTCTTTCTTTCTTTTTTTCTGTCACCCTTTCTTTCTTTCATTCTGTCCCTCTTTCTTTCTGTCCCCCAATCTTTCTTTCTTTCTTTCTTTCTTTCTTTCTTTCTTTCTGTTTCTTTTTTAATCGTTGTTTGCCTTTACTTTAAATTTTCTTTCATTTTTGCTTCTTTCATTTTCTATATTCTGTCTCTTTTCTTCTTTTCTTTTACTCACACTTCTCTCTATGTTGCACTTTCCGTCGTCGGCGTTGTCTAAACGGCATGCCTCTCTCTGTTTGTCTTTCGTCTTCTCCACCCCACCTCCCTCTCACTCTCTCTCTCTCACACTCTTTCTCTTTCTTCTTACTTTATCTTTCTCTCCCGCTTCCCTTGTAACTACTATTTGCGAGCCCCTTTTATGCTTTTCACCCTCTTCACTCTTCTCCCAATCATCCTCTAACGAATATGTATCTGTCTTCTTCTTCTTCTTCTTCTTCTTCTTCTTCTTCTTCTTCTTCTTCTTCTTCTCTCAATCTCTCTCTCTCTTTTCTCTTTAACTTAGTTTATCTTCATCACCCACTTCCCTAGCTATTACTATTTGCCTGCACCTTTCCCTGTTTTTCATCCGTCTCCTCACAATCACCTTCTAGATGTATCTTCTTCTTTTTCTTCTTCTTCTTCTTCTTCTTCTTCTTCTTCTTCTTCTTCTGTCTGTCTGTCTGTCTGTCTGTCTGTCTGCCTGTCTGTCTGAATATAAGTTTTCCGTTTTCTTCCGACTTCTCCTTATTTTTCCTTTTTCTTTCAAGAAAACTTTCTCGTCTGCCTTTTCCCAATCTTTCTCTGTCCATTACTTTATCTTTTCGCCATTTTCTCGTGTTCTTTTGTCGTCTTTCTTCTTTGGGATTTCATTATAAATCTTTCTTAAAATTTGTCTCTCTTCCTTTTCATTATTGTATTTCGGAGCTTCTCTCTTTATCTCTTTCAGTGGGAAGTCTTTCTTTATTTTATGCCTTTTTCTCCTTCGTCATTAAAATGTCATTTCTTTTACCTTTCCCTCTTTCTTTCTTTCTTTCTTTCTTTCTTTCTTCATCATTACCTTATCCTTTTCCTCTATTTTCTCCCAGTATCTATCTATCTATCTATCTATCTATCTATCTATTTTTTCTCGCTTGTCTTTTATCAATCCCTTTCTTTCTTTCTTTCATTCATTCTTTCTTTCTTTCTTTCTTTCTTTCTTTCTTTCTTTCTTTTCCTTTGTTCTACATCATTTCCTTTTTATCCATATTATCCTAGTATCTATCTATCTATCTATCTATCTATCTATCTATCTATCTATCTATCGAAGTCTGTTCCTATCTATCTATCTCTGTCCCAGTCTGCTTCTATCTATCTATCTATCTATCTATCTATCTATCTATCTATCTATCTATCTATCTATCTATCTATCTCAGTCCGCTCATGTCTATTTCAGCCGCCCTCTCTCTCTTACTATCTATCAGTCTGTTTATCTCTCGCTCTCTCACAGTCTGCTTCTATCTATCTATCTATCTATCTATCTATCTATCTCAGTCCGTTCATGTCTATTTCAGCCGCCCTCTCTCTCTTACTATCTATCAGTCTGTTTATCTCTCGCTCTCTCACAGTCTGCTTCTATCTATCTATCTATCTATCTATCTATCTATCTATCTATCTATCTATATTCGCTTTTCTTTTATCAGTTTCTTTCTTTCTTTCTTTCTTTATTTATTTCTTTCTGTTTTCTTTCTTTCATCCTTTCTTTCTTTCTTTTTTTAACCATTGATCAGACTTTAGTCTTTACCTTTCTTTATATTCTCTCTTCAAATCAAAATCTGTAAATCATTGTCGGTCTATTGATACACATATGTATCCATGTGTGTTAATTATTCTGAAATATTTACATAGCTTACGACATTATCCTTTACTAAAATATCCATGTCTGGCACAAGGTCATAATACTAAACAGCGCTAATAAGAAACATATCTTTAATAACACTCTGAGAAACAAACAATATCACTCAAGTCTTGTCTACACTTATGTACTAACGAAGATTGTCAGGCACAAGGCAGCAGTAATCTGAGTGTTACTACATTCCTATGAATTTCTTAAAGACATGATGGATCTTTTATTTATTAATCCGAATTATGATGATTAAACCTTTACTTTTAGTGGATCCTATGACGGTTTCTCCTGTCAAGGTGGACGTAGGTTCGAATCTTGCCGGAGAGCGCATATTTTTCTTGAATAAGATTTCTCAAATATTCATATAAAAATAATTCATAATCGAATATTATTAAATAAATAAATTGTATAATAAATAAACAGACCATCTGCTCAAATATTCACTAAAAACAAAGTTTAAGAATTAATATATATGTATATGTGTGTGAGTGTGTGTTTGCATATATATATATACTTAGTTGTATCGATGTGAGTTTGTGATCGTGCATTTCACGCCACTTGCGATAGTCAGAAAAAATCCAGGCTCCCAAATTCACATCAATAAAACTAATATTGAGCGCTTTCCAATAAGTACCGCATATATATATATATATATATATATATATATATATATATATATATATATATATATATATATATATATATATATATATATATATAATGTAGTCTCTCTAGTTAGTTGAATATGCTTATATTCATCGAAATAAATTTATTGCTGATTATGGATTTATAAGTTTTTTCCTTTTTATTCTTATAATTTACTCTGTATTGACCTCCCACATGAGTGGAAATGGTCTCTTTGGAATAATTCCTACCAATTACATTTTAGTATTATATATATATATATATATATATATATATATATATATATATATATATATATATATATATATATATATACAATTAGTATTTCCATTCTATTTTGCACTCAACACCATCACTTCATAACACAAAAGCAGTTTTGAAACAAAAT